GATTTAATAAAGGTGACAGTGAATTGGAAAAACCTGTGAATAACCTGCGCATGAGGACGGCGGTCGGGATTTATAGTTGCCCATTGCTCACAGATTGTACTTTTTGAAGGTAAGACAAACACTGAACTGTTTAGAGGGAGTTGTTCACGGATTTATCCTGCACAGCATATTATTGTTATCGCAGAGTGAGAGAAGTACTTTTGAAGAAAGAACGGAGCTGCCGAATGGATCCGTCAGTTTACAGATGACTGCAAACAGAAAGACTTACAGACAACTGCAAACATTTACTTGTTGATTGCAGTCAGCGAGTGATGGAACCACGACAAAAGTAACGATCAATATCTTTCAAACAAAGATTCTCTTCATCCATTTTGTATGCGTTGATAAATGAAATCAAACTCCGGCAAATTGGCATATGAGTTCCATATGTGTGAAAAACCAGTCAAACTGTTCGAATTTCTGGGCAGCAGTATAAACGTTTTTATCATTGTCGTATTTTTATCTCGAATTCCGGAAAGTTTTTCATCCACATATCAATATCACAGATCGTCTCCTATCCCAACTATGTGCTTTCTTTTATTTAAGGAATTTTTATTCTCTTCGATTGCCCGCTCAGAAATGAGAAATTATCAATGGAAGGCATTTTATGAAATATAGATCGAATGCAAAAAAGCACACTCAAGATTGTTGTGTGTTTTACTGATAAGGATCACGATACATGTTATGATAACGATAACATTAAGAAAAATATGAATACGAGGCGACGAGAGTGAACAAATTAAGAAGTCATTGACGAGTAGTGTTTAAAATATCGGAGCAGTACATAGCAAGTATAAAATTTCTTCATCAGCCGCAGCAAAACACAAACTCTTGAGAAGTGGGTGGATGTGTAAAGTTGATGGAGATGAAGCGGACTCGAACGAGGATGCAGTAACGAAAACAACAAACTTCACTTTAGAAACAGCTAACAGTGTGAGACGTATTATATTTATGCACTATAAATAACTCGAAGCATTCAATACGTCAATATGAATAACATTTCGATGCACTCGTTAGTACTGTTTCATCGCTTACTCTACCTAATTTTATTTATTTTACTCTTCCAGTCCCAAATTCCTACCACCAGCTCAACTTACCTATCACAATAATTGATCCGTATTGATATTCAGTGCATGAATTTTTCTACTTCTCGTTGAATTCTGTCAGTCGTCAGTTGTTCATTCTTTTATATGCATACTGATTCGTTTTGCTGACACAAAATGTGTGGTATTTCGTGTAATATGTGGTACACAAAATATGTAATGTTTCAGATTCGAACATCATAATTTTTGCAGCTATTAAAACAATCGACAAAACCATCTGCAATACACAAACAACCATTTCACTATCATGCCAACTGGCTATCAACTAGAGTGCAAAAGCAATTTTTTATTGCTGACATAAGTAAGTTATCAATAGTAAGTTATCAGTATATTGATGACTTTTACAAAACGTCACTTTGTTTGTGGCAGAATAGAATAGAANCGAAAAAACATTATGGGACGAGTGACAGATAACATTTGAACATTTTTCGATGCATCTTTATTCCTACGTCTGCAAAACGAGCAAAGTTGTGCGATAAGAACAAAGGAATGAATACCGTTGTAACGAATTCGTAAAATGCAATTCTATCATCATAAAAGTGGGAACCTATGCACTTCTACTATTGGCCATATCCAGATTGGCCAGTTCCGGAACTCGAAAGGTACTGCGATCTGAGCTTCTCAAATATTTAGGGCCTACGATTGTAACCTACGATAGTGGACACTTCAGGTCACATTGAGACCGCTCAAAATGATCCAATAAAACATAAAAACAATTCAACTCTCAATTCTCATAGGTAACAATGAACGCTCAACAAAAGGAATCCAAACAAAATATTGGTGATATTATGACTGAGCATAGTCGGCTCAACGAATATCTGATAACAATGTTGATATCTTTTGCAAGCTTGCCAATTTATTCGATTATAATTTACTCAACAGTATTACCGTTGTCTTATGCAGTAACGTTTTCCTGAAAGGAAATATAGGACTCTAACGACCGAGTGCACCATAAAGCGTTCGCATAAACCAAAGAGAATTTTCGGACTCACTAGAAGGGGATTTATGAAGTTCGCTTCCCTCCTCTGAATCTCTACTTTTAATGCACGTCTGCAGAGATGCTAGGAAACGAACTGGAAGAGTTTTAAAACTGAAATATTCGGATCAAAATGCACTTCTTCAATAATCAGTTGCGATTTATCACTGCTACATCGACTGTCCTCGGTTAAACCAAATTCTTGAACGGCTAACACTCAGAAACATTTGTTGAGAATGGACAAGCTTTTAATGGTGTTTTGGGACGATTGTGATAGCAATTACATGGAAATAACATGGCACTGACGAACAAGAAGCAANCTTTATCGATACCACTTTGATCGAGTTGTAAATGTACTCACAAATGTGTTACGATTATTAGTTTTTTGAGGCGATCGCGTAGAACGACTGTACATCGCTGAACAGTTCGAATGTATGACACTGCTGTTACTTTATCTGCGATTTTCGGAGCCCAAGTTCCATGTAGACGACAAGTCCTCACCGACATTATGTTCGGTTAAATCAGCAATACACCAGAAAATAGAAGAGTTGAACTGGTCATGTTGTTGAATCACACTTCTGATCGAATAACTGAAACAAGTGGCAGATATGAATGAGTATTGCAGGAACATTCGAAAATGCCGTTACGCAGTTTGCATTTGATCAAGGAGTGATGTCAGATGCACTTTAAAAGGTTTCAATTTCAATGAGGAAACTCAAAAAAAGATTTTGTTTCCAGAAAAGGTTGTGAATCAGAAGTTAGTATCGTCAGGATATTAAAGCTTATTTGATTACAAAATCTGAAGAAATGTGGATTCAGTGGAATGGTGAAATGAACAGAACTTTTTCTGCTGCAGCAACTGATGAACTTTTTCTGCAGCAGCAACCGACAACATTGGTTTTTCTGGAAACGGACGATTCGAAATCAACTCATCTCGTAGCCAAATAAAATATGAATGTATGAATTCACAGGAGGTCAAATTCGTCGACAATTACTATGATGCACAATCAAAAAAGTGTATGTGCAGACAAATATGAAGCCAGTTCTCCTCTTTCTTGGCATTACTATGAAGTGAATCGTTACTAGAGTCTGATGTGGATATAGTGATCGCGGACACGGAATGCTTTCTTACTATCATACACAAAATGTCATAGATAATGCCACAATCTGTTGCTGACTATAGCTTGTTGTTTTCGAGTTCGTTGGAATAATATCGCCCTGCAGAAACCACAAGAAATAAATTCTGCGACGAAATTGATTGCAGGAAAACTTTGAAATCGAGCATATCGAAAACTGCGATTTTGTGGCAATAGAAAAAAGATTCGACTCTTGAATGAATGAAAATTACGCTACAATCAATTGCAGATATCGTAATTCGTTATCTGACATGAATTGGACCGTAAAAATTATTGCAGCATTCAGACTCATTCCGAGCCAACTCACTGGAGTTTGAAAATATTGTTGCAGAAATATCATTTAAGCAATTTTTGATTTTTTTAAAACTCACGATGCATGCATTTTCTTTAATGCGAAATTCTGTTCTTTATATAAGCACAGTATATCGAAGTGATGCGGCGGAAACTTATCAGTTTTAGCCGCTCTATTAATTCTCTTTAAGGCTGACGAAGTGCTTCAGATATTCTCAGCGATCGAATTGTTTCGGTGAGGCATTGAATTAAACCATATTTGAGCTTTAAAAATCATTCGAGCTGAACTCTTTGAACCGCAACAAGCTACGCTTTCGGTCAGGCTAATCTGGACGGTATACCAACGCCGTTTTTCATTCTAAACTCTCATCCGCAAAAATCGATGATCTCTTCGGAATTTCATGTTCGATATTGCAGTGTACAACTTGAACTATTCCGGAAGTTCTTCTGATTCATGCTCACAAGTGAGTCGTGATGTTGTGAACTTTTCGATCATCTTTGGTTGCCATGAAAAGTCCTCTGTCACATTCTGATAGTTTTATCAGAACGTCACTAATGCAGGAGACGTGAGACATACACATCAAAATGAACGGATTTATTGTCACCCTATGCATTCAACAATGATGATTAATAATATGATCATCCTGGATCGGTTTCATCGCTCGAACATTAACTGTGATGAACCGAGTGAATAGTCAGGTTACCCTCGATATCCATACTATCAACGGATGACAAATCGTTGCGCATTCTGAAGTTCCCAATTTGCTTACCATCGAGATGAATCTGAAGATCAACGAATGCACCATCTTCAGCGTAATTTGTGAGTACAAATGGCTGGAACAATCAATGGCGACGAACCAGAGAAATGATACTTTATCCTGCATTTATGCGTGTATTTTATGTCATCGATATTTGATACCGATATTTAGACTCGATACGTATGGAATTTTAATTGATACTGATCCAAGAAACGACAAACGAAGGTTACCTCAATGTCGTCCGAGGTACGAACGAAATCCAGAGTGAATAGTTGGTTGTGAGTGAAGGGAATTGGCTGGATGTACTCCTCGGTTTGCCAGACACTTTCGGATGTACTGTTCATCACAACACATCCTTGCTGAATTACGAATTTCGTTTACGTTTGCAATACGCTCCACGATCATTTCGAATTCATATCATCGTTCAAATAACAGTCGGTACAGATTCATTGGACTTTCGTATTGCTTTTCGTTTCCGACAATGGTATGNTTTGTGCTGGATGTTTTACCAAAGTTCCTTTTCTGTGATTAGTTAAAACAGTGAACTTGTGCAACATACGAATGAGCTTACCTCGAATCGTGGATTGAAATGGAAATAAATTTCATCACCCCTCTTCAAATTCACCTGAAATGGATTTTATCACTCTTTGTATCACTTTCACATTCTCGATGAAAATTTATTGAGAAACCCTATGCGTCAAAAAATGCTATCAGGAGAGTGTGGAATGAAAGCGCTTTTTGTTAATTCCCTGGCAGTTTTTCTGTTCCTCAAACTGGAATCGGCGTCATCGGTACAAAAGTTTGTGATATCAACACGGCAATCCTACAGTACCGTAATCATACACACTCCATAACTGTACCGTAAACAGCCAAAGCTCAGTAATTCTTATCATGTTTTTCAAACGCAAGCGAAAACGAGATGTATCTTTTGTTTCAAACAGTGTGAAACTACAATTATAGTTAGGTTACCTAATTTTTACCTAAAAAAGCACAACAAGAAAGAATCTTCGTGAA